ATATATATATATATTCTCCTTTGATGTCACTTCCTGTTTTACCAGCCAGTTATGTGACAAAATGTTAAGGCAATTTTCTTAAATATAAAGATGTTTTCTTTGACTTTTTGTATTTGAAGCACATGCATGTCACATGCACTTTAAGTTGAATATGGTTCTGCCATCTTACCGGAGACAGAACATCACCATCAAATCGTCTTTTAGGGTTGGGTTTCCGGTGGTAGCCAGGTTCCGTCTGAGAAGGAGGGGGAGGAACTTTAGGTGGCTGGGAGCTCTGGGTTTGGTGATGGAGGTGGGACGCTGTCGGGTGGTGGTACTGTGGATGGTGGTGGTGATGGGAGTGGGCCTTCTGCTTGAGGGCGGTCTTCTGGTTCTCGTGTCTTTTCTTCTTCTTCTTGTTCTCCTTCTCCTTTTTCAGCCTCTCTTCCCTTTGTCGAATCCGAATGAGCTGGACCCTCCTCTGTTGTCGACTCAGAACCACTTTAGGGTAAAACAGAACAGAACGGCAATAATGTGTGGCAGGAAGGGAGGAAAGAGAACAATGGATAATCAACAGGGAGTGACAGCATAACAAAAAGGCAAACAAGTCATTTAATTTAGAAACAAATGTAACWGATTGAGCCGAGCAGAAAGGGTACATTCAAAATTACTGACGAAATATTAATAACAATAATTTCAGTGACTTTTTTGTGGGGGTGGAAGGGGTTAGAGTATTGTAATTAGCAACTGTTAGTGAACTTTTTTCCCAAAAAAAAATTCATATGAGTGCAAAATTAAAATGGAAAAAAAATGCATGTACTTCAACATGGCTGTTCAGTTTCCTGACATATTGTGAGTGGGCGAGTGTGTTCTTGTTATTCTAGCACCCTCCCTAGCAAAGGATGTCCAAATTCCATCTTGTCTCACTATCCATTGATTCACCACAAGAAAAAATGTTGGTTTGCTCAAAGCTGCTTTGAGCCAGAGGTTTAATATGAATACAATCTGCAGCCGAAGGAACTGAACTGTTCATTTCTAATCTGTAATGTAAAAATGTCCTCACATACCAGCAAGGCTGTGTAGGCCACAGTCACCCTGACTGTTTTTGTGTGGGAGGGTGTGGATGTGTTGCGAGGTCTATTATTATTTCTTTTGTGCGCCTGGWCATGAGGCACCATCTGCCAGGGAAACTGTAATAATACTCCCTCCTTTTCTCTTCCTTAGCTCACCCCATGTCAGCCCCCCTTATTTCATTATTTCACGTGCATCTATGTGTGTGTGTGTGTGTGTGTGTGTGTGTGTGTGTGTGTGTGTGTGTGTGTGT